AGGGTGGTGGTGGAGGAGACAGCGGAACCGGCGGTATGGGGGGATACTTACCTCCTTCTGCTGCTTCCTCCTCTGCCTCCCCCCCGCGAGTATCGCGGGTCCCGCCCCTTGTATTTCCAAATTTGCAAGCCCGAGAGGGTTGTCAACTCACTTGGGAAATTCCTGGAGTTTGGGGGCAGTACCAGGAGAGTGACTTCTCTTTCTCCTAGGTCCTATGGTATACCATAGAGTTTGCCCACACCAAAGTTGCCACTGTCTCTAGAGGACCTGATCCCTGTCATCTGGAGGTCAATTATAATTCTTGCAGAACTCTGCCCTCCACCTGGAGGCTGGCAGCCCTATGAAGAGAGGATTTACATGCAGGGTCATGTGAGAAATTCATGTGGAAATTCTCTCACCGGTTCTTGCTTTCTTTCCTCAGTCTGATCCCCCCCAGCACCTCCCCACCCCCTCCTCCTCACCACTCTGCCCACCTGCCTGCCCCTCTCCTCACCACATGTTTGCAAGGCAGGGAATCTTTTAGGCTCAAGGACCTTACTGGATGTGTTAGGAGGCTGGTCTCTATAACGACCTGGAAGTGACCTTCGTCAGTACTTGTTCTCATTCCTCTTCATTTCTGAGGTGCCTCACTTATGGAGCCCCTTCCTTTGTGCTTCCACCTGGCACTACACCAAAGGTACCAGGTTAAAGCATATTTGTTTCGTCAGGTATGTTTACTCAGAAGATGGTCTCTGCCCTCACAGGGGCATTTCGTCATGCTAAAATGGCTTCAAATTTGCTGTTTTATGCAGGGTGGTGGCCACTGCTAATTATTGGCCCCGGTCACACCGCAGGAAAAGCCGTGGTGGAAGTATGGCTTTTTAGAGTTGCGGCAAAAGAGAAGCGCGGCAGCGGGATTAGACAGATCCCCGGAGCTGCCGCACATATGCTCCCCAGCGTGATCAGATGCCAAGGGAGAAGCCACGGACAGGAGAGCAAGACGAGTCAGCTGCACATGTGTGCGCATGCACAGTTCAC